AAGGCATCTGTAAAATATCTCACAGTGGCTTAATTCCTGAAAGTTATTTTTACTTCTACCTATTTCAGATATTAGCTGATATATGGGGAAAAATAAAAATTTTGGTATCTCGTCCGGAGATGGCTAACTCTTCCACATTCCTCATCTGGCCCTGACACTGCATGGTATTTAGGACTGAGGCTGGAAGGCCCTTCTGTCCTCCTTCCTGAAACCTCATTGTTTGGAGAACGGTGGGCGGGCCGTTGGCACGTGGTGGGGGGTGGGGGTGTGTTTCAGTCCCTGAGTTAGGGATTTCATTTATCAATCCCTAACTTGGCCGGCACTCATGGTCCCCTCACGGTGTTTCCTTTCCTCTCCTGAGGGGGCCTCCTGTTTGCCAGCACTAATCCCTGCACAGGAGCCCAGCTAGACCCTCCTTAAAACAGGAAGGTGTGGGGGCGACTCTTCCCACAAGTCCCCCTGGCCACAACGGATGAAAGTAGACAAGACCTTTTATGATTGGGGAGGAGAGGGGGCTGATACCTCAGAGGGGAAGGGCAGCGAACAGTGGCCAGTTTCTCAGGGGAAAAGGCCTCAAGCCCCTTCCTCCAGGGGCTTTTATTGGGTGTAATACACAGGAATACAGGGCGGCAAAGATCAAACAATAGATAACATTTCAAAGAAATCTGAGGGCTTAGTCTGAGTCAGAGTCTGTCAGGAAGCGAGTTTTGCAGAAACTTTAGGGTTTCCTGCTCGGACCCTTAACCTATGGATGAAAGCACTCTTAGCAGAGCAGATTTCACAGGCTTATCAGGAAGTCTTTGTGATGCCAGATTTTTCCCCAGGACAAGCTCTAGCAAGGCAAGGAGCTGCACCCCTCCCCATCAGGTATTCAGGCTTAAGTGGATTAGATCCAGGAAGCGCTTCTCCCAGAGGACATGGGGACTCAGGCTGTGTTACATAGCTGGGGGGCAAGAGTCCTTTGCTCACTCTTTGTTGCAGCCCCCTGAGTCCTTCCATGATGGCCTCCCAAGTGATCATGTCTGGCTTAGGTCCCCCTCTTCTGAGGGTTCTTACCCATCGACAACATAGACCAAGCTTTGGGGGCAGGGAGAGGAAACTGAGGCAGCACTTGCTACCAGAGACAAGCCTTGTCTCCTGTGGCTCGCATTGGAGGTCACTCGTTCATCCTTAGCCATGGGAGGTGGTTACAATTCCTGAAACCAGGCAGAGCGGTCCACAACAGGAAGGCAGAGCAATTAGCCCCTCCACCCAAATATTGTGGTAGAATTTTATTACTGGAAGTCTTTTACTTTGCTTCTAACCTTCTTTTCATTTCTAGACTACTTTGATGATCTGAAAGAACTGCAGCCCCTTGTGGACAAATGCACAGAAACAACAAATGCAACTCTCAGTGAATAACCTTTTGCACTGTTGGATTAATTGATTGTCACATGTGTGTGACACCTATTAAAAATAATACATAATAAGGAGGAAAATTAAAGTTTGTTTGGGGCTCTCAATAACCAATAAATAAGTATTTCATAGCAGCAGTGTCTTCTTCAATGTCATAGATCATAGATAAAGGAGGACCAAAGAGTATGCCAATGAGAAAACACTTAATTTTATGCAGCAACACCTTCAACGTAAAGATTTTTTTTATTGTAAAAAACAAGTGGCCCATTTCAAAATCTTTAGTGTGAAAATTCTTTGTTAATAATTTCTTTTTTAAAACTTTAAAGTTACTATATTTACTTCTTTCAAATATAAGTTCTCAGCCTAATTAAAACTTCCTTTGTTTGGTTGAGAGAAGGTGCTGTCCCCAAATGCTGTTCCAGTTTCCTTTCTACCTACTCTCTTAACTTCCTGTTATCTAAACTTGTATATGACACTCTGTTGAAACTGCTCTGTTAAAGGTAACCATCCACTAGTACAATAGGCTCTTTCCTGCCACTGTTGGGTTTGTCAATTCATCCTTGTCATAGGAGCAGCTTAACCTTTCTAAAACATGTTTCATTTGTCAATTCCTAACTCAGAAACACCAAGCGGAAGCCAGTGGAATGAATGATAACTATGGTGGCCCTTGAAAGCTCAAATTTCAGGAGGGAAGTTTTTGAGAAGGCAATTAACACCATAAAAGGTGTTGTTTTACCTAGATCCTGCCAGTAGCAATAGGGCAGGTGAATAGGAGGTGGGGGAGATGAGTCAGGGTAATCTGCTGCCACATAGAGCAGGTATACTAGGCTGATGGGAAGGACAGTCTTTCTTGTGGAGCTTGGGCCTGCAAAAAATGCTCTCTTGTTCAGTGGTTCATAATGTTGTTAGTAGCATCCTCCAAACTGAGTGGAGCTTTCAGGGTTTAACATATACAGGTATACAATATGAGGCAATTTAAAGTATAGCAATTTGATTTTAGATGCAAACACTATACTACCTGATTTTAAAGAGTTGCTGGTTCACCTGGATAAGTGCAAGTGTGCCAGAAACATTGGTCACTCTTTCTTCAAGAGCCATGACTATACTTGTTGAAGCCCACAAAAGAAATCCTTTGGCCCTTTCCTCAGGATCCCAGGTCAGATGAACCAGACAAAACTCTGGTCCTGCTATTGCTATAAACTTGTAGGAACCTATGCTTCTCAAGAGCTTCCAGGACCCCTGTGGGCTTCTAGGATCCCTCTCCCAGATAATTCATTACCCTATAAAATTGCAGAAAAGTATAAACACTTTCTTCCTCCCTGAGCCAAACAGTCTCCTTAATTCTTACCAGCTGTTCCAAGGAACAAAGGTTAGTAGGAGACAGCATTCAGACCTGCTTTGTTCTTATACCTTATACAGTCAGACGGCTTTCTAGGTAAGGGGTCTTCTTATTTAGAAGGAAAAAAAATCCTAGTCTTAATTCCCCCTCTGGAATTAGGAAATTTGTCTTCAGACTACAACAGGGGGAGAAAAGAAGCAGGAAAGAGTTAAGCAGGTGTCATCAGGGTGATTGGAGGGGAACCCAGGAAGGAGGGAAGCTCATGGAATCAAGCACCTGGAAATCCAGAAGCATGAGTTACTGAATTTTCCCAAAAAGAAATGATCAGAGATTTTGAACATTGCTGTTTGAGAAGGGGAAAATCAGAAGCTACAGTTGCAAGAGGCAATGGATAAATGAGTAGCAGAAATTGGAAGCTCCAGGTATATATTCTGTGGTGCTATCAGGTTAGTTTCTCACCTCCTGGGAGCACAGCTTCATTACCACCTGCCCCCACCGGCAGTCTTTGCCAGTGCTTTTTGTCTTCAATATAACTGTTCAGAGTCTACCCATCTTTCAGTTCATAGCTGTTTCAGTTCCTCCTTCAAGTCTTCTCTGAAGATTATAGTTTCCATTTCATTCCACATTCCCTGAGATTTTATTGACTTCATAGTTACAACTGTTACCAGGAATACCCAAATTAGGGGGCTACCCCTCCTCAGTTCTTGACTGGCTTGGCAGAGATGAATTTGAAACCAAAAAGTTGGCATTCCGGCTACTTGTCACTCCCAGAACCAGGAAGTGGAGACAAGGATTGAATCTTTATGGGCGCTTTATTCACATGGCTGGCAATCTGAGAAGATGGCAAGTTATGTACTCTAAAGGCCATCTTACATTTAATTTCAAGCTGATCTCTTTTATAAGGAGGAAAAAAATGTAGGTAAAAGGATTGGAATTCAAGGAAAAGGTTAATCAGATAAAAGCTGTAGTCTGGCAATTTCCCTAGCATCATAATTATTTATCTGTGTCCTGGGTGGTGGGATGGGAGATCTCTCCCTGGAGCACAATGGCTCAGATACTATCTTGATTGCTTGCAGTCCCACTGGCTCACAAAAGTCTAATTCCTTGTGGATTTCTGGAGTCAGGGTGGGTCATACCTTCAGTTCCTGAAACAACAGCTTTTTACATACATTAATTACTGAGCTTATTAACTATTACTTAAAACTAAAAATGTCCAACTCTTGAGTTCCCGCATCAAATTCAGGCAAGAAACAATATGTATAGTGGAAATGAGATAGCAAGTTTATTTATGAAATATATTTCAGCATCTGAAGCAGACCCCCAGCTAGACTGAGTGCCCTGACAACTGGGATTTCAGGGGTTTTATGCTTATAGACAGCTTCTAGGTTCCCCATTCTCCTCCCTTCTCCAGACCTTGGGTTTAACATACAGTTTCAAAGACTTTCTTTCCTAGATAGTGGAAATGATATACACAGATTTTAAAGCCTCTCCCCTCTCCTGCTCTATCATAGATCTCGTGACTTTCAGAACACCTGGCAGTCTTTTCTGACCACCTCAGGACTGCTGAATTAATGGGTGAGGCATATGTTCCCCCTCATACCTGCCTTCCTTTGCTATCTATTTGGGCTAACACAATCACACTAGTGATGGTTTTAATAGTTATTTCAAAAGTGTGGTCCTACTCCCCTTCAGTTAGGCAGTGTAATTCTTTAGTCTGGAGACTACCCGTATATTGTAAACTTGTTTTGTATACTCCCTGGGAAAATTGTAGACTTATATTGATCAAATATACTTCCAGGTCTAAAATTATGTTAAATTTTGATGAACAATCACTTTAAAACACTGTATAAAAGCTTCTACCTCAGCATGCTTTCACTAAATTTTCAAGTAAAAATGTATTCCTTTTGACTGGTCTCAATAAGATTGCCCAACTCATTTCTAGAGCAGAACTGAAAACTTACAATTTATACAGAATTGTCCAAAGAAAGGGCAGCCCCTACAGAAAGACCCCTGGCAATGAGTTCTCAAACTCAGTCTGCTTTAAGTAACAATCACATAATCAGCCCGGGGGTAGAAGTGTCAAATTTCGTAAACACCTAGAAAAGGGAATGAAACGATCACCTAAGGATACAGTTTGCTAGCTAACCTATCCGGGAAGGCAGTTGACGAGAGTTCCTAAACTCGCTGCAGTTCGGATTCTAATCCGGGTTTTTCAGTAATAGCCGTGGGCAACCAATTGGGCCGTCTGAGTGCCGTGCATTCTGGGAGTTATAGTTTCCTGCCTCTTCTCCTGCCTACAAGTTCCACCGAACAGCTGGAGGACGGTTGCTTGGTATTATTAACAAGCGGGAAGTATGGCGGTGGCGCGCGTGGATGCGGCTTTGCCTCCTGGAGAAGGTAAGGCTATCCTCACTGTTGAGTCCCAACTCTTACTCCGTGGAACTGAACTAAGTAATTATCTGGTGGAGAAAATAAGGCTGGGTTTAGGGATGTAGTTCTGGATCAGTTCTTAAGGTGGGGGGGGGGGTGTCTGTGGGTGTCTCGGAGGCGCTCTACCTTCTGGGAATTGTAGTCCGTGGGTTCTGCAAAGCTCTCCGGCGTCCCGGCGGGGACCAGCCGAGGGACTACAGCCCCCAGGGCCCTTCGCACCGCCGGGCGTCCTGGCTCCCGCGCTTCTTACACTACTTGGATGGTGGGTTTCGGACTGCCTTGACCTCTGTAGGATGTTTACTTTTAGTTCGGGTGCCCAAATGGAAACTGCAGGATCTCCCTCCGTCGCCTTACTGTACCCCTTTCCTTTCGATTCCTAGAATGTTTAGGACATTCTTTGTTAAACACAGGTCTTTAGACATTGAACCCTATCTTGCAAGTGTCCGGTGGCTGTGATAAAATCTGGGGGTGATCTAGAGCCCACAGGTCGGGATACTGTAGGGTTTGGTCTTGCCCAGAGAATCTCAGAACACGGGTTCTTCTGTGACCCGGAGCAGTCGGGCGTGAGCGGAGCTCCTTTGTTTTGGTTACAGCTCCGAGGCTCTGCTTCAGAGATCTGGGTCCAGGGACCTGGCTGAGGGTCGAGGCCTTTCTCCACGACTTAGATGAGGGGCTGATTATATTGGGGGGGGGGATGGGGAAGTCGATAGTTTTAAGAGATCTGCCGGCTCTTCGGTATTGTGTGCAAAGCCTGCGTTTTCCTGGGACACACAGTACACAGCTTTACCAGATTCTCAGAGAATGGCGTGACCCAACCCTTTAACCCCCCGCCCCCAACCTGAAATGCTAGAAACCCTTAGACAATGAATGGAAAGACGTTGGACCTCTTCAGGAGAGTAATTATCTCGAATAATTATTTCCCGCAGTGGGCTTAATTGGGGTATAAATTAGAAACTTGCAGCTTCTCCTTCTGATGCCTGCTGCCTTTAAACTCCACCTTCTCAACCCACCAAGGCAATTTAGAGTAGTAGCAATTAACTTTTATAGAGCACATTTTATATGAGCTAGACGATATTTGACTGCTTTTTTTTTTTTTAGCTTTTTACATCATCTCATTTTCCCTGTAGAACTACATGATAAGCAGGTATTATCAAATCCATCTTACAGAGGAGAAAAGCGAGCCCCAAAGAGATCGGTCTTGCTCAGTGGTGAACGATGGAGCCAGGATTTTAATGTCTGTTGCACTAAATTATTGGGTTGACCAAAAAGTTCGTTCACCAGTTTTGAAAAGTTTTTTTTTAAGTGATCGCTAGTACAGTCTAACAAAATTGTGTCAAATGAAGTTAAAGACAACTAAGCACTAGTAGAACCAAAAAAACTAATTAAACAGTTTGGCCAACCCAATATAATGGGGCTAAGTGCTATTCATAATGATTTCTCTTTTCATCCTAACATCGATTTAATGAATTGGGTGTATTTTTCTCATTTTACATGTAAATTAACTGAAGTATATACTTTGATTTTGGGCACTGTAGGGTATAGTGCTAGTAAGGTTGTAAGCAGGTTAATCTCTAACAAAAGATGAGTTCTACTGAAAAAAACACTATCTTTACTTAGGCAAGAAATACGGAACTATTAGTTCACACTTAAATGTGAAGAATTCCAAACTACTTAATCATATTTCTAGGCCAAGTAAATAATTTCAACCTGTGGTCCTTTAGAAGTTGATTGCTTTCATTTTAAAAATCTTTATATTGTGCTCTAGTGTTTTCTGAATGTGATTTTTTTAGTATAATTCCATTCCTTGTGTTTTCTAACAGTTTCCCTTCTCTTTTCAAGGATCAGTGGTCAATTGGACAGGGCAGGGGCTTCAGAAATTAAGTGCAAACTTACCCTGTGATGCGGATATTCATACTTTGATTCTGGATAAAAATCAGATTATAAAATTGGAAAATCTTGAGAAATGCAGACAATTAATACAGGTGGGTATTTTATCTGGGGAAATAGTTACATAGAACAAGCTTATTATAGCTAATTAAATAATAAAATAACCTAAGAAAAGGTAACTGCGGGCCTGGAAAGTAAATGTTATAAATCTTTCCATGACTGTTTCTCCTGAAGATGAACAGATATGTGCTACATCTAGAATGGACCAGAAAAAGAAGCATTTGTTTAAAAAAAAAAAGCCAGTGTTTTATGTTGGCAAAATACTGTGTTAAGAAAACCTTTTACCTCACAGTGTTGGTAAAGAATACCTTCCTTTCTTCCCTCCTTCCTTCTTTCCTTCCCTCCCTCCCTCCTTCCTTCTTTCCATAAATGTTTATTGGGTTCCTCCTTTTGTGTCTGGCACTGTTCTAGACTTTTACTGAGACACTTTAAGGATCTCATCCTGTAGAGCTTACATTTTCTAGTAGTTGCTGCATTAATGATATTTTCTCTTTGGTAATTGGAGGAGATGTGATTGCTGGGGTTAATGTTTAATGTGTATTTCCCTTTGTTTAGGAGTAGCAGAAGCTGCAACAAACTGTAATTACTCTGGAATATGTAGACAATCTATGTAAAAAGCACAAATTGGGTTTTTATGTATTTGGGCATGTTTGGCCATATAAACAAATCTTTTTAAGCACCCTAATGTGAATATAATCTGTATATTTTATTCCCAAGAGTAATGATATGTTTCTTTTTCACAGTTGTCAGTGGCTAACAATCGGCTGGTACGGATGATGGGTGTGGCCAAACTGACCCAACTCCGGGTGTTAAATTTGCCTCACAATAGCATTGGATATGTGGAGGGGCTAAAGGAACTAGTACATTTGGAGTGGCTGAATTTGGCAGGAAATAATCTCAAGGTGAACTGGGTTTGTTTTTTTTCTTTCAAGTAATTTTGTTTGCTTTTTTTCAATTTATGAAAGTATTTATTGTAAAAAAGAAATGCAACCAGTATAAAAATGAGTAGAATAAAAAATGAAAGTACCTACTAGCACCACAAGGATAATTTTAGTTAACCTAAACAAACAAAAAAAATCTCCTTTTTAAGCATGTAATGTGGTTCAATATTCTCTTAAATGTGAACAAAGAATCTATATTATACTTAGAAGACTGGACCAAATAGGATGAAATGTTAGGAGGGAGACCATCATACTGCATTAAGCTTTAAGTAAGTGTTTAATGGTATAGTAGAGAATAATACTGTTTTAAAACTCAAAATCTGGATTCTAGTCCTGCTTCCACCATTTACTAGCTCTATAATTTTGGGTAGGTTAATAAATATCTCTGTGTCTTTTCAATATGCTATATGAGGGGAGTGGACTAAATGAGATTATTAGTAGCCGACTTTTATTGAACTTTTAGTTAATTTAGGCTAGGTAGGCGTTTTCTATATTTTTGCTTCATTGGATTTTATTCTAAGCATCTTAACTGTATTAATTCAATCTTACGACAGCTTATAACGTATTGAGTTAGCCAAAAAGTTCATTTAGTTTTTTTCTGTACGGTGGGTCTGGTAGTGCTTAGTTGTCTTTTAACTACATTTGAGACAATTTTGTTAGATTGTATTGTATTGAAAAACTTATCAAAACTGGTGAATTTTTGTGCACCCATTTTAATATTGAAGATAGAAGAAGATATTCGATATTTTCAGCATATTATGCTTTCTTTATTACTTCAAGGAAGGTAAAAATGCAACTGAAAAGCAAAAAAAGATGTGTGCAGTGTATGGAGAAGGTGCTGTGACTCACCAAATATGGTTTGCGGAGTTTCTTCGTACTGTTGATACTTTGGCCAAATACTTCTTTGCTGTGGGGCTGGCTGTCTTATGCCCACACCCACTAGAAGCCAATAGAGGGAGATGGTCAACATACTTAAAATATCCAAATCAATAGTTATTGGTGAAAGTGAAAAATGTGTCTTTTATTTTATGGAAAAAGCCGTATTGGGCCAACCAAAAGGTAGTGTTACCCTGCTCATTATATAGAAGAAGAAACTGAAGTGTACAGAGGTTAAGTAGTTTACCTGCGGTCATACTGACAGGGAGTTGCAGAGTCAGTGTTTGAATCCAGGCAGTTTGGCTCTACTCGTAACTTTTAAAGTCTGTGACCCCACAACTGTCATGTGTCATCACTAAGTTTTCTTCAGGCTGTAAGTACTGGGATGATGGTCCTCTAACTCATAGAATGATAATGATGGTGGAAGCTTGCTACAGAACATTTTACCAAATTCTGTCAGCACTGCTTTCTCTTTTTCTTGCTAAACGCTGATCCTCTGCTTCCAAAAATAAGCAGAGGAGGCAGGACACTCAGTTCTGAGGAACTAGGGAAGAGTTTCTGTTTTCAGTTTTGGTTATATAAACTGACATGATAATATTCTTGTGCTAGGCCATGGACCAAATCAATACCTGCGCAGCCCTACAGCACCTCGATTTGTCGGACAATAACTTATCCCAGATAGGTGATCTATCGAAATTGATGTCACTGAAGGTAAGTGTGTGTTCTGCGTCATTTCTGAAATTTTACACTATAATGATAGCAGAAAGTTACCTGATTTGCTCAAGAGCAGCCTGCTGTGTATGAAGAACAGATTGTGTTCATTATAATAAAAATTCAGTTAGAGTAGCAGAAACTAAGTATGAAACTTTGTTTTTAGTATATATACTTACTTAAATAAAACTGATCATTGTAGTTAATATTAGATCTTATTTACCATCCTTCATACATGAAATTCCTGTGCAACTACCCATGCTAGCTGCTTAGTAGAAAGTGCATACATAACATGTTGGCGAGGTTCAGCATAATTACTCTTGAAATTGAGCCTATTTTTTTTTGACACTCAGATTGCTGTCTTTTTAGTAATAGGTATTATTAAGTTCTCAAAGTTAACTTCACTTTAATTTTTAAAAGCTTGTAGCATATAGCACTTTTTATTGAGGTGAATGTACTATGCAATTAAATAAGTAACAGTTGGATCCAACAGCCTCAAAAAAACATGTAGGCATTTTTTCCATATTTTTGCTTCTTTGGATATTTTTAGCATTGGATGAACTCATTAAGCTTTAGGAGTGTTATTAGCTCAATTTTCCCCATCTTTAGCAAAAGATGCAAGTTATTTTAAATAATTTCATTTAGTCACATACTAAGATTCAGATGAACTAAAGATTATTGAACTTTTTTCCCCCCCGAGATGGAGACATAATTATTTTATTAGAATCTGGTGTTCAGAGTTTTTGGTTTCTCATTGTTGCTGACCTTGAGTCAGCTTCATCTACAAAGTAGCATTTTCTACTTTCTTAAGTTTTTAGTTTCCAAGAGAATACAGGTGCAAATTGTGGAATGTGGGCCCTTCTTTTTTGGAAAATTTGGTTTATACATGATTGTTTCAATGAATGTTTTCTTTCAGTTTTCTCACTTTTGATGTTTTAAAAGGAAATGAACAGGTATATTGGAAATTGTTCAAATTTTACTAAACTAAATCTCACCAAATGCTAGTTACTACACAAAGCATGTGTTCTTAGACAAGTCTCTAAACTTTCCTGGTTTTAGAATGTGGACAAGAAAAGAGAGAGTGGACTGAAGGGGACCTGGTATTAAGTCTTCAATATGCATGCTGTGAGATGGATAATAAAAAAGGTTCCTGTATTTTCATACATACAATTTGGTTTTATCAAAATAAACCCATTTACTTGTAATCTTTTCATTTGTAATTCATCTCGTTTTTACTTTTAAGACCCTGCTTTTACATGGAAACATCATCACCTCTCTTAGAATGGCACCAGCTTATCTACCCAGAAGTCTCGCCATCCTTTCTTTGGCAGAAAATGAAATTCGGGACTTAAATGAGGTAAAATTTGAGGGTGTTCTGTGGGGTCTAGGAAGCTGAAAAGCTGTGAAAAAGGAGGAGAAACACAGGAGAAGGTCGTGAACTCACTTTTGGACTGGGAGCACCTTGGGAGAAACTGCCATGAAGATCAAACACTTGGCTGTCGCTAATCATTTTTTTCCTTCTGTCAGTGGATCATTAAGGCCTAATTTAATATGTAATGCTGCAGTTACTCCATTTGGAGGTGATTGGTGGTAGAGGGACATCTACATGAAAGGTGTTAATGAGGCACACTGCACTTTTCTCAGGCTGCTATTAGATTTTCAAAACAGGGTTCTCTCTGCTGGGAAACAGTGCTGATGTTTTCTAAGGGACTTTGTATGGCAAAGCCAGATGGCCATACTGCTGGAATTTTGGACGTCTGTGGATAATGTAAGAGTGTTACTTACCGCCTTTCAGAACAAGAGGGGAATTGTTACATTTCCAAATTGCCAAAGATGTGTAATCAGCGGAAGCCCTGTGCTTGACACTGGATAGTCCACTGTGTTCAACAAAGATATCCTTTGTTCCAGATCTCTTTTCTGGCCTGCTTAATGGAATTGGAACAGTTGTCGATCATGAGCAATCCTTGTGTGATGGCAACACCTTCCATCCCAGGGTTCGACTACCGGCCATACATCGTCAGCTGGTGCTTAAACCTCAGAGTCCTAGATGGATATGTGATTTCTCAGAAGGAAAGGTGAACCTAACCTCTTTAACATCACATTTATCGGGAAAGTTACTGAAAAGACCATTTCTAGCTTTCTACAGATTAATCAGCTGAGTATTTATTAAAATGTCCATTTAAAAAGAAGACCATTGGCGAGATCATATAGCAGATTCATTTAGGATTTTCTGTCCTTTCTAAAAAAGGGTAAGAAATAAATATCAGTTCCAGATGTTGGGTGAGGCTAATGAGTTGTCTTAGTGCCCAATGTACAACAATTTGATTTCTAAAAATTGTTATGTTATTGGTGGTTTGGGGCTTGGAGCACTTCTATATAGAAACCATGTTGTGGATGTTATATAAGCAAGATCTCAGATCAGTTCTACAAAAGCTTGTAATTCACCAAATATGTAAGGGCAGTATTAATCATACCTTCGCACCCAATTACCCTTTATAACAGTAGCTCTGTGGGAAAATGCATGCAGAGTTCCAATTTGGAACTGGTAGAGACATGCTGATTGGTCCATCCCGTTTCCTACCTGTGAAGCCGCAGAAACGAGGACTTCCCCATTTCTAGATCATTGATGGTTTCTGTGGCTTGGAGTTGGGACCCCTGCCTGATGGGGTCTTTTGGAGGTTGGCAATATTAGTGGAGCTTTAGAGGAGGTAAGGAACTAGGACGTGGACAAAAGGTAGTGCTAGAAGGGATTGTGAGAATTGAGGTGAGTTTATTCTCATCACTGTGCCTGATTTCACTTCCTCCTCTCAGTGCTTATGCACAAGCATTCATGGACTCAGCGCATACATTCTTCCTCACCGCTTTTGTTCTTCTGTTCTGGAGATGCCAGCAGTCCCTTGAGGGGTTTCCTGATGAGAGGATGAGGGGCAGATCAGAGACAGGGTTTTCCTTTTTCCTTCTCCCTGCTCTCTCTTCTAGTTGCTGAATTGGGCATGGAGTGGTGGAGGAATGGCAACCAGGAGCTACGTACCAATGGTGCTAGTATAGGGGGAGGGGCATCTGTCAAGTCTGCCTGCCCACCATAAAGTGTGGCTTTCCTTGTTCCTGCAGTAAGTGTTGCTGTGTTCTCAGGAACCTTATTTTGTTTCCTACTGTGTATAGTTCTAAAGCCTGATTCACTTGGATTGCCTTCTCCAGATCTTTCTTTAAGCGAAAGGAGTACGTGGTTGTGTTTTCCTGTGGGAGTAGGACTGCAACACTTTTACCTGTTGGGGGCAGCATGGAGAGATGGGCAGAAATGCAGGTCTGGTGTAAAGAGAGACCTGGGCAGAGGGATGGGACCTGGGCAGGAGAGATAAGAGAAGGCTTCACACCTTTCCCTGCCACCCGTTAGCTGTGTGGCCTGGGCAGGTTTCTTGGCTTCTCTGAACCTTAGTCTCTCATCTGTAAAATGGGGGAAATACTACCTCACTTTCAAGGATGCTGAGTGTGAAGGGTGTATACAGCATAATATTGGTGTTTAATAAATAGTAATTGTCATTAATACTTAAGGATAAGAAATACAGAATAAAGCAGTTTGAAGAAACTAAAGCAAATGTTAAAAAACAAATATTTTTTGAGTAGACGAATAGCAATACAAAGGCTATGTTTCTACATTGTGGAAATGGCTTTAATGCTAGTGGCTGTCAGGGGATTTGTATTTCTTTGACCCATCAGGGATTTCAGGAGGTGGGGAGCAGGGGCTGCCCCTTGGGGTGGCCTCCCTGTCTGCGGGTGCCCGACACTGAAGGAGCCTGGGGGGAGGGGGAGGGGGTGCAGTAACAGCCCTTTCTCAGGTGGATTCTTGTCCCTCCAGTTTAAAAAGTTTGCAAAGTGTCACGTAATTCAGATATAGTTAAAAAGTAATACTTACAGATACCCATATAATCACTGCAAATGAGAACAGAACGTAACCGGTGCTCCAGCAATCTTCATTACCCTACTCCCATCATAAAACCTCCTTCATTACTAGTGATAACCACTGTATTGGCTTTTAAAAAAATATTTTATTTATTTATTTATTTGTTTATTTATTAGAGAGGGAAGGGAGGGAGAAAGAGAGGGAGAGAAACATCATTGTGTGGTTGCCTCTCACATGCCCCACCCCTACTGGGGACCTGGCCCTCAACCCAGACATGTGCCCCAACTGAGAATCAAACCCTTGACCCTTTGGTTCACAGGCCAGCACTCAACCACTGAGCCACACCAGCCAGGGCTGTATTGACTTTTTGATAAACTAGAAAGATTATTATTTTTCTTGATTATCATGGAGCCTTTAAACCAATCAGCTCTCATCAGAGTAGCTGGTATATTTTTAAAAGATTTTACTTATCTTTAGAGAGGAAGGGAAGGAGATAGGGAGAGAAACATCAATGTATGGTTGGTTGCTTCTCATGTGTCCCCTGCCGGGAACTGGCCTGCAGCCCAGGTGTGTGCCCTGACTGGGAATCGAACCTCGGTCCTCTGGTTCGTAGGCCCGTGCTCATCAGAGTAGCTGATATTAAAAGAATGGAAAATACTAAGTGCTGGTGAGTATGTGGGGCAATTGAAAGTTTCATACACTGTTCTAGGAGTGTGAATGGTGCAATCATTTTGAAAAACTGGCAGTGCTTACAGAAGCTATAAACATACAGATACATTCCCTGAGGCCCAGCAATTTGATTTCTAGTTTGTACCCTAAAGGATAGGTTTGGTCCCGTAAATAGTAAACAAATTGAAACACATTTGGAAAGTGTTCCACTCAGGTGCTATACAAAGGTGCTGGTCTTCCCACAGGTGCACTCCTGAGAAAGCACCAGACAAAGCACCAAAGCACCTCAGTGGTGAGCAAGGGGAGAGCCTTATGGGCCCGGCCAGCACATCCAGCTCGTCCAGGATCTAGCCACAGTCTGTCCTCTCACTTCTACCTAAAGGATAGGTGCTTATAGCTACCAAAAGACTGGTGCGAGCACGTTCATAGCAGCCTTATTCATGCTAGCCCCAAACATTGGGAACTGTTCGTGACATTTGGGAAACTACCAAATGTCAGTCCATGGAAGAATGGGCAAAGTTATATTCAAACTAAGGAACTTAGATTGTTACTGATGCCACAGTAGTGAGACATGCTGTTGCAGCTGATGTCTGAGACAGCGCTGTAGTCCACACCGTGCTCGTGGGTTTTAGAGTATCTCCGGAAGGATTCTGTTCAAAGGGGAGGAATTATTCTAAGGGAGAGTTACTGTCTTTTTTTTTTTTTTTTAATTTTTTATTTATTTATTTTTTTATTGATTATGCCATTACATTTGCTCTATTCCCCCCTCCCTTCCCCTCCACCCTGCATACCCCTCCCCCACCATTTCCCCCTTTAGTTCATGAACATGTGTCTCAAATTCTTTAGATTCTGTATTTCCCCTACTATTCTTACCCTCCCCCCTATCTATTTTCTATCTACTGTCTATACTACTTATTTTCTGTACCTTCTCCCCCCCTTCCCCTCCTCCCACTCCCCTGTTGCTAACCCTCCATGTGATCTTCATTTCTATGGTTCTGCTCCTGATCTAGCTATCCTCTTAGTTTGCTTTTGTTTTAGGTGTGGTTCTTAATAACTGTGAGTTTGCTGTCCTTTCACTGTTCATCTTTTTTATCTTCTTTTTCTTAGGTAAGTCCCTTTAACATTTCATATAATAAGGGCTTGGTGATGATGAACTCCTTGAATTTGGTCTTATCTGAGAAGCACTTTATCTGTCCTTCCATTCTAAATGAAAGTTTTGCTGGGTAGAGCAATCTTGGTTGTAGATCTTTGGTTTTCATGACTTGGAATACCTCTGTCCAGCCCCTTCTTGCCTGTAAGGTCTCTTTTGAGAAATCAGCTGACAGTCTGATGGGAACTCCTTTGTAGGTGATTGTCCCCTTAGCTCTTGCTGCTTCTAGGATTCTCTCCTTCATTTTAATCTTGGCTAATGTAATTATGATGTGCCTTGGCGTGTTCCTTCTTGGGTCCAACTTCTTTGGGACTCTCTGAGCTTCCTGGATTTCTCGGAAGTCTATTTCCTTGGCCATCTTGGGGAAATTCTCCTTTATTATTTGTTCAAATAATTTTTCAACTGGTGGTTGTGCCTTTCCCCCTTCTGGTACCCCTATAATTCGGATGTTGGAACGTTTAAAGATGTCCTGGAGGTTCCTAATCTTCTCCTCATTTTTCTGAATTCTTATTTCTTCATTCCTTTCTGTTTGATCATTTTTTCTTCTGTCTGGCCCTCTCCCTTGATTTGAGTCCCAATGTTCTTTCCATTACTATTGGTATCTTTTGTATCAGCATTCATTTCAATTAATTTAGCTTCCATATGTTTCTCTAATTTGTGACTAAAATCCACCAGTTCTGTAAGGATCTTTATAACCAGTGTTTTGAACTGTGCATCTGAAAGACTGGCTATTTCTTCATCACTTAGGTCTATCGGTTCTGGGGCTCTGAGTTGTTCTAGAGCCATTTTTGGTTTATTCGTGCTGTTAAGTGAGCGGAGCGAAGCCTTAGTTGTTTACCAGGACGGGGCGACCCAGGTCGCTGGTTTGTGACGCTGTGTGTGGGGGGCGGGGTCAGAGAGGGAGCGATGGCGTTCCTCTCCGTTAGCCCAGCGCATCCAGTCACTCAAACGCCTCGGGCTTGCTTATCCGATCCTAATTTTGCGAGCCTGCTGCACCGCGCGGGTTTCCCTTCTCACTTGTTTCTCCGCACGTAAATGCGCACGACCGACCGACCCACCGCGCCTCTTCCCTATGCGCTCCGGCAGCCAGCTCGCTGGCGATCAGCCCTCGGTTGCCTGCGCGCACCGCGCACCGCCCCGGGAATTTTTTCTTGCTAACCTGCTCCGCTTCTGGTCTCGCTCCTTGTACCGGTCCAGCCGAGTATCTAGTTGTCCTTTGGACTCCGTATTGTCGATTTTCCGTGTGGCTTGGTTGTGACTGCTGTTAAAAATAGTTGTTCTTAGATTTGGTTGTGCACAGAGGCGAGGTGGACCCTCCACCTACTTCTCCATCTTGGCGGAAGTCCGGAAGTAGTGTTTTTAATGAGAAAGATCAACACCAGAAGTGAGGAAGCTTTCTTTTTTTTCTTTGCACATGACCTCAGCTATAATCATGCAACTGGCGAGGAAGAGACAGCAGCTCAGTCACGGGGCAGAGTGGACGACCGGAACTCCTCGAGAGTTACTGTCTTAAAAATTGATGGGTAGCCGTGAGCAATGGTCAGAACATTCTCCTGGTCAACCTTGGGTATTGTCCTGGGGATAGGAAGGAATACAAGTTTTTGTATCTACCCAGCCTTACTGTTGTTTGCTGAAAACATCCAGGTTAAAATTGTTCTCCCTTGTGAAAAGTATCCCAGGTTCTTCGATGACTTTTGGTAGCCATGTCTGAAGTGTGTTTAGGATGGAAAAGAGTCCCCTGAGCAGTCACCTACTGCTGAGGTGCTTTCTCAGGAGTGCATCTGTGGGAAGACCAGCACCTTTGTATAGCACCTGAGTGGAACACTTTCCGAATTTGTTTCAATTTGTTTACTAACTACAGAACCAAACTACACCTCTGTTGCTTAGTTAGAAATCAGAACTTAGTTAAGAAGCAGAATTTTGGAGATGACGTTTCTTTTTTGAAAGGATACTCAAAATATATAGACAGAGAGTAACATGAACGTCTAAACACTCACCACACAGCTTCCTGAGTTACCAACATTTTGCCCATCTTGTTTAATCTGCTCCCCATTTTTTGTTGGAGTATTTTAAAAGCAAATATCAGATATTTTATTCAATACTACTGTGTTTTTTTTAGGAGAGAGCAAGTTGGTTTCCGTTTTCTTCCTTAATAACTCTTCTGTTATATTATGTGAACCATTCATTTAATTTCACCTGTGATGTATTGAGGTACTTGAATTTGACAGTAAATACTTATTAGGGAATACTTATTGCTTCTTTGCAAATAATTTTAAAATACTTGGAGCTATTAGTGTAACTTTATGGAAGTGCCTGTAAGCAAGGAAAAAAAGGTTTAAATCATGTTAAGAGTAAGGGGAGTAAATGAAGAGGATGGAGTTTTTTGAACTTGATTGAGTTTTATTTATGAAAAATGTCAGTGATGCTATAAAGATAAATGAAGAAGGGAGATCATTGTTGCTTAAAAATGCATTTGGTCTACCTGCCGTCATCTTCTCTCTATGTCCCCGAATTGCAGTCTGAAAGCTGAGTGGCTCTATAGTCAAGGCAAGGGGAGAGCCTATCGGCCCGGCCAGCACACCCAGCTTGTCCAGTACCTGGCCACAGTCTGTCCTCTCACTTCTACACTCGGTCTTCAAACTGCGGAGGATGCCAAGCTTGAGAAGATTCTGAGCAAGCAGAGGTAAGCCCGTTTATTTCTAGCAGCTAATGAGTTCATAAGGGAAAGCACCTCTCAGTCTCTTCTGCAGGGTCAGTAGGACTGCGGCAGGTGCTGCAGCCCACATTTCTGGGCCTTGGGCCCCTTGTCACTGCGGCAGCCTGCAGGGAACCTGGCGGTGCGGCCCCGCGGCTCCACACACAGCAGCTGCACTGACGGTCCTGTCTGGGGCGGGCCAAGCAGTGTGAGAGAACGGAATTTTTAAAAAACTGGATCTCTCCTCACAACGCAGGTGTTCCCATATGGGTTTTAAAATAGTAACATTAAGAAGTATGGCTAGAACATGTAATTACTATTTTTTTAAAAATCAAGAGACCCTGCCTTAAATGTTTGTACAAGTATGAGGGTATCTATGTGATTTAAAAATAAGTTCCTTAACCTTTTCTATCCAATGCTTTCAAGTGAGACTTTGTAATTTAGTGATCAGAGCTATTTGCTTGGAAGAATTGTAAACTTCTACCTTTCCGACAGTGTTACCTAGGAATCAGAAAAACTGTATGTGTGTGTGAGAAATCACATCAGATATTACTGATTTTTAGGTTTCACCAGAGGCAGCTGATGAACCAGAGCCAAAATGAGGAGCTGTCTTGTCTTCCTGCTGTGGAAACAAGGGTACCAGAGCGTTCGAGCCCCGTTCAAGATTGCCAGATAGTCCAGGAAAGTGGTAAGAAATTAATTGATCTGTTTTCTCCAAGTTGTTTGATTTCTTGGTCTTCATAAAACAGAAAAAGGGCATATTTTCATAATTTTTATTAGTTTTTTAGTTAAGTGCTTATTATTATATATGTATATGTATATATTATAACTATTTTCTATTTTTTAAAAGATCAGAGCAATGCTTTGTTTTGTACTGATCCAATACTTTGATTATTATGATTATTCAAAGTTTATTTTCTTAAAAATATTTGGTTTGATGTTATAGACTTATTGGAGGAATCAACAAAGGCATTTTATTTCATTTTACTTTATTTCAGGGACTAGATGTTATTAAAAAGATCTAACTGAACATATGTCTTGATTCACCCAAAAATAAAACTAGGTATGCAAAGTGATGGATATGTTAATTAACCAGATGACTGGAACCCTTTCACAGTGTGTGTATATACCAAACCAGCACAATGTAGGCTTCCAATGTGTTACAGTTTTGAATGCCAATTGCACCAGATAAAGCTGAAATTTTTTAAAAAATTCTCTTTAGATATTTAGTGGTTTAAATGATACTCTGTTGATTCTTCTAGACCCTGTCATCCAAGTCAATTCTTGGGTTGGGATAAGCAGTAATGATGATCAGTTATATGTCGTTAGGAGTAACTTTCCAGCCTCTGTACACACTACAAGATATTCTCGAAATGACCTGCACCTGGAAGACATACAGACTGACGAGGACAAGTTGAACTGCAGTCTTCTCTCTTCAGAGTCCACTTTTATGCCGGTTGCATCTGGACTCTCTCCAGTGTCACCTACAGTCGAGCTGAAGCTGCAAGGCCTAGCAGATGATGGTGGTGCAGATGAATCCGTGAAAGAGCAGGAAGAGCAGGACGTGGATAAGGAAGACGAAAAGGCTTTTGGGGCTGCAAATGGGAATTCCGTTCAGATGACGGAAAGTGCAGTCAGTGCAGGGGTAAATGAGCAAGATGGGCTGTTACCTTGTCCTGAGCCAACAGTAACCAGTGCTGTCTTGAAAGGTGACACCCACAGTCTTGCATCTTTTTCTGACTCAGTTGGCCACAGTGTCTTTCATACACAGCCAGACAGAGAAGAAATCATGCCCAAAATAGCTTCTGAGGAACTTCCCTGCAGGACTTTAACCCAGAAATCTGTTGCTTTGGGACAAGATAAAGTTGCCCTTCAGAAATTGAATGAAGCAGCGACTACACTGCAGGCCTGTTGGCGGGGCTTTTATGCCAGGAACTACAACCCGCAAGTTAAAGACGTGCGCTATGAAATCCGGCTGCGTAGAATGCAGGAGCACATAGTCTGCCTCACTGATGAAATAAGGAGGTGGGTCCTGTGCAGGTGTAGCTTTGTTGGTTTGGGGGTATCAGATTCTTCGAGTTGATTCGGAACGCTGAATCACTGGTGTGGTCAGGGTGTGTCTGACACCATGTTGCCGCTCTTGGTTTACTTGTCTCCTACAATAGCCTGAAAGCGTCCTGAGGGCAGACATGATCATATGCATCTCCATGTCTAGCACAGCAAGTGGTACAGAGATGTAGTATAGCAGTAAACGTTGAATGAATACATGCCTTTACACATCTGTAAACCTAAATATAGGGAGGTACAGAAAATGTAGAATAACTGAGTAAGTATAAAATGAGAAAATGAGAAAGTCTACTTAGAACCAATTACGTGACCTCAGAATTAAAGAAAAAGTAGGGATTTAAAAGGGCTAAAATTCTAGGGTAACAGTTGGATTTATGCCTTGAACCAGAGGAGAAGGCAGAAGCAGAGACTGAGAAGGAACAGCCGGAGTGTAAGAGAACAAGGAGAGTGTGTGCCAGCCCCAGCAGGGAAATGCTTTGGCAGAGAAGGGACGAGCTGTAGGGCGGACAGAGACATACATTAGACTGAAAAGCTGGGGATTATCGGTGGCTCTGTTGGAGGCCCCCAAGACTATCCGCAGGTTTGAAGATTTGCTAAAAGGTCTCAGGGAAGCTTTTCTGTTCATGACTATGATTTATTGTAATGCAAGGATACACATTAAATTCAGGGTGGAAGAAAGGCGGGTGGGGCAGAGTCTAGGCGAGACCAGGCACAGCTTCTAGTTGTTCTTTCCTGGTGGAGTTGTACAGACAGGGTTTGATCGTCCCAGCAACAGTGTGTGACAACACCTGTGAGGTGTTGCCAACCAGGGAAGTTGACCCAATCCTTGACATCCAGGGTGTTTACTGGGCATCAGTCATAAAATACGTGTTCACCAGAAAGCATAACCTATCTGGTTTAGCCCAAGACCCCATATATACAGATATTCTTACCAGGTAGGATATTCCAGGGGTTCACAGGTTGTCTCCCAGGAGCTGGTCAAGGCCATTTCTATCTTTAGAATGGGTTTGAACACAGGAGGCCTAATGAGTTAACCCTTTCCTGCCCAGTGAGGGTCATAAGACAGCTTCAGACTCGTCATGGGATGAAGACAGTTTGGAATGGGTTGAATAGTGAATGGGAGGTGGATAGTGAGTGTCCCTTTTGGGACATGCTGCTGTGAGGAAGAGAAGAGCTGGAGGAGAATCTGGAGTTAGGGAAAATTCTTTTTTAAGGATGGGAGATAAAGAACGTGTTTATGTCAACACATAAAACGTGATAGAGACAATGCAATAAAGAGGGGAAAAACTGGTGGTGCAGAGGAAAGGAAGAGGTGCAGGGTTGAAGTTCCTGAGGAGGTAGGAGGGGAAGGGATCCAGTGCACAAGGAGAGGGAGTGGCCTGAGGCAGGAGTGGGAGCTGGTACCCTGATAGGTTCGATGGTGGGGGGTGGGGAAGTTCACTGATGGATGCTGCTCCCTTTTCAATAATGTGTAAGGTGTGGCCAACATTTGAAAATGAAGGGATGAGGGTGTGGGAGGTTTAGGAGAGAGATGTGAGGTACTCATTTTAAAGGTGCACTTATAAGGGGAGTGGAGGAGGGTTGCTGGACAGTGTGAGGAAAACTTAAAGTGCAAAAGAATAGGTGAGGTGTTTTGATTTTCATCAGCAGTTCTTAGCTATTCTATTCTGATTTAGAGGTAGATAATTTGGTTCAGCTAGGAATCATTTTTTTCTAGATGCATACGGTAGGAGAGAGAGGGAAGGGCAAGGGAGTCGAAGATATGTGGAGGCGGTGATTGTAATGTTGGATTTGGAAGTTAAAAGAGGTAAAACAAAAGATGAGGAAAGGATCATTAGTTCAGAGGTCTAGACTGTTGCAGTGGGGTGTGAGAGCAGGCGAACTGGGAAAATGGAGGTAGAGGTTTGTGTGGGTGCTTGAAATAATTTTTGAAAATGGTCTAGTCAAAATAAATGACTGGGTCTAGAGCGAGACAATGAGAATGAGTGACAGGGGTGGATTATTCTTAGAGCATCCATGGGAATGTTGAATCTCCAGAAATGATGACAGGAAAGGGGCTGCGAGAAAGGCTGGTGCTGACTCTTCAGTGAATGGGGCAGATCATGGGAAGTCAGTACATTTTTTGAAGAGAGTTTGGGGAGATTTAGTTGTTCAAAGAGGAAGGTAAAGAATAGTTTCTACACAGCAGTGAGAAGAAATCTTCTGACCCCAATGGATGATTGTAAAAGATAGCTTCCACTGGACAGGACTATAGTGCCCTCAGATGCGTGTCTGACATGGTCAGGGAGAGGGTCACATAAGAGCTGGACTATTCAGGGTGGGGCAAAAGGAGATTTACAGTTGCGAGCATGCAAAACACAGTTTATTCTTGTATTATTTATTATTATATTTACATATGAACAACTGCAAACCTCCTTAAACTTCCTTTTGCCCTCCCCTCTATAAGGGAGTTTGCCGCTTACAAATCAGGAGTCTCAGGTGGCACCAGAGAAGGGCCTGGGGTCCTGGAGACTGGAGAGCTGAGTCGGAGGTTCAGAGCAAGGTGGTGGGAACAGTCTGGGAGACGACAGACAACTAGGGGAGCCCAGATCTATGGTTGGTGTAAGTATGGAGAGGGAGCCCAGAGTAAGACTGGAATAAATGAGGGGAAGTGATGGGATGAGGTGAGGGCGAGGGGGGGGGTGGTGTCTGTTGATAACGTAACAAAAAGTTTGTCAGGAACTGGGGCAAACAGGTAGTGAAGTCCGATAGGATTGTCCTGCTAGGCTCTTAGTAGGGTGCTCTTGCTGTGACCCTAACCCTTAACTCCTTCGCAGCTGCTGCCCCTTTGATTTGTTTGGCTGGGAAATTGAGGTCAGCTAAGGAGCCATTTAATATTTTGTTTTATCTTTCGTCACTGGCAATATTTTGTGCAACCAGTATAATCTTAATTTCACTCATATCTCATTTGGCTTTGTTGAGTCATGATTTAAAACTGGTTTCAGCTGAGATATTTTATAAGTGGAAAGGGCTATTATTATTATTTTTTTCAATTTAATTTTAGTCAGAAAGGAGGGAGAAAGAGAGGGAGAGAAACATCAATGTGTGGTTGCCTGTCACACGCCCCCCCACTGGCAGGCTAGCCTGCAACCCGGGCATGTGCCCTGACTGGGAATCAAACCAGCAACCCATTGGTTCTCAGGCCAGCGCTCAATCCACTGAATTGCACCAGCCAGGGCTGTTACTTGTTTTTTAAAGTTTTTACAATGCATGAGTTTATTCGTTGTCCCAACAAGTGCAAGTCAAAGCATCCTTCCTTGTGTCAGTGATGGATTTTGAATTATTACAGGTTAAGAAAAGAAAGAGATGAAGAACGTATTAAAAATTTTGTACAAGAAGAGGCTGTCAGATTCCTTTGGAACCAGGTAAACCCCCTTCCCATTTATTTACCTAATGTGTGAACAAAGAAAAATTTTAGATTTATTGAGATAATCATAGATAGTTAGGCATACTGAGCATGCTCTCCCAAGGCCAAGGATGTAATTTGTACCCTTTGCCGGTAACTCAGAACTAGTACAGTGAACTTTGTTGTATTCGATTTAATCTGAAAAGAAGTAATTTTACAATTTTGACCAGAAAGATAAAAAAGTATAAAGATAAGGAGAGTGACTAAATTGAAGAATGTTCTTATAACATTTCTAATACATACAATATAAAACACTCCATTTGAAGTTTTATTGGAACTGCCTATCTTGTTTATCTTTTGGGAATATTTGAATGAAAGGTGCCAAACATGGTGTATGATGGTTACAATATGCATGTCCTAAAAAGTGTGCATGACTTCTTGGGAGATAGAGTTTGCACACTATAGAGACAGTTTACATAATTGGGTTTCACTGTAATTGCATCTCATCAAATGTTTTTTGATAATTCCTTGGACATATTTTTTAAATAGAATTTCTTGCAACAGGATTTTAACTATAAAATTAAAAAACCTTTGTAAGGCTTTATAACTACTAGAAGGGGAGTGCCTAGGTAAATTGTAGAAATAAGAGTGTGGTGGGATGCCGCAGGGACAGTGAGAAAGAAGAGAGGAGAATGGTCTCGTCTGGAAAGAGCTCCGAAATAATACTGTTGGCGACAAGCAGCAGGTTGCAGAACTTCGTGTGCCCCTTGACTGTGAAAGCTCCCTTTGTATCTGAAAACGCGTCGTACAAGGTCCAAAAGGACACACACCAAACTGCTATTAGTGGTTACTTTGAAGGGTAGTCAAAAGGAAAGGAAAAAATTCTATATACTGCTATTTTGTTGCAGAGGTTACAATAACATTTTGAGATCTTCATTGTACTTTAAAATTGTAAAGGTCCTATTACCAAGAACTCAGGGTGTTGTTAGATATTTTAGAGTTGTGTATACTATATTAGATACTATTTAGACCTTTATCTCAAATGGATATCTAAAACGAGACTCTACTTATATCAGAGAATCTGCTTTTATTAATGGGCTCTAACCTGTCTTGTCACAGGGACCTCAGTGTGTACTGAGTACATTACTGACCCCTTAGTCAGCTAGACATGTGCTGCTGTATGCACTTCTGATAGTTTCCCCAGTAGAAGGAAGAGAATTGCTTTGGTCCATCCCTGCTTCCCTGGTGAGGGCCTTTTATGGCCCAGGTTTGGGCTGGAAGTGCTGTGGAAATGGTGAGGGAAGTCAGGCTGTTGCTAACTCCAGGTCTGCTATCTGCCACTTACTAACTTCATGCGTGTTGGAAAAAAAGCTCAAAAAACGATTATGAAGCACACATGATTTTTATTTTCTAATAAAAACTACATCCTTTGGTTTATAGGTAAGGTCTCTACAAGTTTGGCAGCAGGCTGTAGACCAGCGTCTAAGTTCCTGGCACACCGATGTTCCTCCGGTATCAAGTACTGCAGTGCCGTCTGAACCTCCGTTATTCACCCAAAGCCAGGCCCTGTCTTCGGATCAAAGTTCTGATGGGTTCATTGTTCCTGATGAAACTCCTCAAGAGAAACCCTCACCAGAATTTCCAGACTCTGGTTTTCATTCCTCCCTTATAGAACAAGTTCACTGTTTGCATGATTCTTTGGATTTGGAAAAAAGTTCCACAGAAAGCAGTGTTAGTTCTATAATGGGGAATTCCATTGACACAGTCAGATATTGCAAAGAGTTAGGTGTAGTGGATATTAGCGAAGAACATAGTGGGCAGAGTAAGGAAAGCTCAAACAATGAGCTGGATAATAATCTACTTGAACAGTATTTAACTTCAGTTCAAGAGCTAGAAGAATCAGACGAGAGGACGAATTTTGCTGAAGGGGCAGGAGACAGTGTGCTTCACGTAGCTCATTCCCCTGAAAAGTTAGATGCCTTGTCTGACAGTGCTTCTGTCTGTGATAGTCATGGCTTATCTCCTACTTTGCAAGATGAAACCAGCCAGGCACCAGAGGATTGTAAATTGAATACAGAAGTTCAAGGGCAGCAGTCAGAATGTGATTCTACATTTCAGGTATTGCATGTTGGTATTACTGTGTAGCATGTCTGATTCAGCTTCAGAAGTGGAAATCCACTTAAGAACATTTTCAGTTGCCTTTTTTTTTTCAAAGGGTAATGGGAATATTACCCCCGACTTTGGTACTATTTATGTAGAACGGTATTCATTCTTGTCTCATATTTTTCATAGTCTAGATTCTAAGGTCAATCTTCATTTTGTTTGGTTAGCTTTTTTACTTAGCTGTAATGTATCAAACTATTTATATTAGAAGCCGTAAGCACTTTATTTCTTAACTGAATTTCATCATCAGTGTTCCTGTTTTTTATGCATTCATTTCCTTTAAAAAGTAAACTAGAATATGTTAAAGATAGAAAAAATTACCCTGAAGATACAAATAAGATAATTTGACTCCTCTGTATAAAGAAATTGTGTAGTGAAGAATGCAGTTTGTGAAAGTGAATATATATGTAACATATGAGGATTGTGAACTATTGAAATTTGCCAGCCTTCTTGAAGGAAGAACTTGTGTTTTAAGCCTTTTTTCCTCCCTTGACTCAAGGAAAGCCTTCTTATAAGCAAATAGGCAGAGAAGGTAAGATTATAGGATTTTTCTGTGGAGGTAATTAAGTTGTCTTATGGAAAGCTTTATCATATATCAATTTTAACATATGAAGGAAGCCAAGTGATTCCCTCCAGAATTAAAGTCAAGCTTATTTAAAGAGGCAATGTAAGAATATTTCTCCCAGATAAGAAAGCAAACACCAGGCTCCATTCATTTGGAATAATGTCATGGCAAACATTTATTATCTTTTTATTTTCTTTCTTGCTTCTCAGATAAGCATTTGTGTGCCAATATATTGCCAGAAACTAATGTGTGTTCACCTTGCACTCCTGCTTTATATTTGCAAAGGCCCGTGGTCATTTACTTCACTTTTGGCCTCAGCCTCACAGTGAAGAGGAACATTTAAAACAATACCAGTGGTAGGATACGTTGACTTTTTTTAAAAAAGGACAATTTTCTATCTAAATCTCTGAAAAAAGTGCCACATTTGGAACACAGTTTAATGGTGATTAAGAAAAAATAAACCTCACTAATCTTTACCTGTTAAAAAGAGTATGTACCTGTAACTCCAGAAAGAAATGATAATACTGTGTGTGAATATTAAAGGTAGATATATTTGCAAATAACTTTGGAAGCTTGATATTTTAATCTTTGGGAATTTCTCATATCGCTTAACAATACATATCTAATTTTTCCCAATGTGTGAACTTACAACTATTTAAAACTATGGCAATAATTATGTATTCTCTAAATTTAGGTGCTAAATACCATTTGTTATTTTGCTGTAGTCACTAGGTCTCCTTCTTTGAAGTTACATAAAATAAAAACTTCTGATCTTCAAGAATAAGATCAGGGATCAAATGTAATACTGTGTTGATAGTCAGAAACATTTCTCCAGTATGGGTAAGATGTATTTTTCTCAGTTTAAAACTATGTAGCACTCAGGTTAAGAAACTTGAATTTCATCCTCAGAAATTCAAAATCTCTTGGAAAGGAAGTATTTTCTGTCTCAAATTGAACAGCAGTCTTATGTTCAAAAATATTTTTCTTAGTGAAGCTTCTGTAATGTTGAAAGCATGTGAAATAGAAATAGAATTTCTTGCTTTTTGAATAATGCTAACTATCTTTTCTGAATGTTTCTTAATTTCTTCTTAAATATATACCCTATTTTTCTATTTTACAGTTTAAGTGCCTCACTTGCTGCCCATTGTTAGACACAGAAAAATCAGCTTGCGCTGTGCTAGTACCGGAAGTGCTGCTCCCCGGTGCATTCATTTCTCATTAAAGCCTCCAAAATGTCCTGGTTCAGTATCATCTAAGTAGGTTTCTGCTGACTTCTTTTCTCCCTTCTCTTTTTTCAAGAAATAGCAAAACAACTAAATTCAGCCCCGGCCGGTTGGCTCAGTTGGTTGGAGTGTGGTCCCCTACACCAAAAGGATGTCGGTTCCACCCATGGGCGGGGCTCTACTGGAGGCAGCTGAGCTGTGTTTCTTTGTCTCTCCCGCCCTGCCCCCCTCAAATCAATAAGTATATATTCTTGGGTGCGGATTTAAAAAAAACAAAATTCATTTGAATATGAGCATTTGTCAGTAAAATTTCCTTTTTTTTACCTTTGCCTTGTTTTTTCTAGTGTATAAATAGTATTTAATGTACTTTTATTTTAAAACTGACAGAATATGATAATGATTACTATTCTGCTCTTCATTCTATTTAACTTTACTAGTGTTTTCAAGTACAAGAATGTTAAGTAGCTCCCTGCCTTCACTTTACAAGTTATCTTGTATGTAGATAAAATGAAAATAATGTAAATTAGAATGCAGGAAAACTATGGCATAGATTTAATATATTTTAATAGTTTTACTATGTAATTTAAAATAATTTATGTCACTAAGATACTTGGTTTCTAACTATGGGCTAGTCACTAGTCTAGCTGAAGAAGAAGTAGGTCTAGTGAGGTTTGGGAACTTCAGCTTTAACACTGTCTTTGTGTTTTTTCTTAGAGGATAGATTTAGTTCAGCTATGCTATTTTAGTTCATAGTAGTTCTTTTGCTTTATTGAAAATTCAGTGTATTAAGTGGACATTTCTGCAGAAGCAGAGAATCATACAATGTGAGAATTGGAAGAAAACTTAGAGATTATTCATTCTAATATATATGTCTTAAAGATGAAAGTAAGTCACAGAGAGGTTAAATAGCTTGTCTAGTGTTATAGCTAATTAGTAGTAAGTAAACTTAAACTTCCAATTTATTATGTTCCAAAAGTTTATTGTACACTTTCTATTAACCTTTACATTTAGTGAGTCAGTAAGAACATCTCACATATTTTCCATTCTCTTTGAAAGAGAACAACAATTTCTGAGAGCTGGAACTCTACCCCTCCAGGCAAAGATGCTTGCATAAACAATTAATTTGTTCAGAACCCTGAGTGAATTTTCTCTAAGAAATGCGATTTGGTTGAAATGGTTTCTAAAGAGCAATAGTAGAAAGAAAACATTAAATAACTGCATTTTGGAGTCCATTAATTGGACAACAAGTATAATAGGTTACTAAGATGTATAAAGTTTCGTAGTGAAATGCTGAGTTTGACTATATTTCATCTTCAGTTTCACAGAACAATAGATGTTAAAGTTTTAACTCTCCTGCTGTGCAGAAAACTCTAATTATGACAGTCGGTACATAAATAATAGTTTGGTTTTATATGTTTAATTATACAAGGCTCAGAATGTGCATGTTTTAAGAAAACCTCACAAGTATTTGTGTATACACAAATAGTTATATTCTTGAATGATGTGGGTTCCATTCTTGAGTGGATTTTTCTTTTTGTTTTGCATTATTTTAAATATACAGACACATTATAATGCTGTATTTTTTTTTGTTACCTACCTAAGACAAGTCTAGTTCCACTTTGTATAAACATCTTTAAAAACAACATGGCCTGAAGAAATTATGCTATCTCCCTTGGTACCTTTTTGGTGCAAACTCTTAAGAATTGGATTTATAACAATAATATAACATTTTGTTTGTTTTTTTTCCCCCCTGGGCAATTAAGACCTAGTAAAAAGGGAAAATATAAAATAAGTCTGATCAGACATTAAAAATTACTGATTTGATTGAGCAAATTATAATCCAAGGATTTGTTAACTTTGAAATCTCTCAGTAAAATGTGGAAGGGCAGGGTAAATAAATAAAGAGTCTGATCAATTTTCCATTCATAAGTAAAAAACAGAGACTTTATTTTCTGTTATATTGTAATGTTTTAAATGTGTGACCTCTTTCATGAAGTAAAGCGGAAAATGCTTGTAAGAAACACTGTGAACATTTTCAGTGGTACTGCTTTTACTGGTCAAATCTATTGTGCCAAACTAAAATCGAAGTCATGTAAGCAAAGTAGTCCTCACAACCTGGAGACAAACAAGTAATTGTCTTTTTAAAGTGAGGTGCTTTTTATTTGTGAATGAATGGGACTCATACTGTTTTAGTTCTGTAATTGATTTTAGTGAATAGCTAGCAGAAGTCCCTCTGCAGTAGTTGCGTTCATTTTCTAATAAAATTTCCTTCAGTGTTTTGTGGTAATTTTAATGTTGACAACAAACATTTTTAAATAATTTGATTTGGGATTCTTTTAGGTTTTTCTTTAATTTTGTTGTAGAAATAGATCATTTCAAGTGGTTATGGTCTATTTTATGAAGGTTTCATATTTTATATTGTACTTTGTATTTGAGTCTAACTCTAAATAAAAAATTTGTACATTTGTTTTAGTGATTATTGGTTTATTATAAGTACCAACGGTTGTTATTCATTGTGCTTGTCAATTAATGGGTAATTATAATTCAGAACAAACTGCAGACAGAAGTCTACCAACTAAAGTTCTGAGTATTATTATTATATGAGTGAATTTGCAATAAAACAGTCCTAGCCTTAATAAAATGGATATGAAATGGTAGGAATGCTCATTTTGTTGGAGCCCAAGAGGCCTGTGAGGGGTCGAGGATAGGGTCTAGTACTGCGGGTGTGGTGACTGGGCCTGGTTTCTGGCCTCGGGGCTATCTTGGGTTGTAATAGTTCTCTGACCCCTTGAGAAACTAGCCGCCTTTCCCAGCAACTCATATCTTTGGCCTGTGCATCATGTACCAAAAAAGTATGTTAGCTTGGGAACGTCCGGACTCTAAGGGAAGAGATAAACTTTGTAGGTCAAGGAAGTGAGCTACGTGCCAGAAGGCTTCTCCTTTGTTCTCCTTTGTATCCAAAATTGTATATAAGCCAGAAGACTGCGCAATAAACTTGCCTTATGCCAGCAGAGCATTTAGTCCTCTCCTTTATTTCAGTCCCTCGCTCAGCCTCACGACCACCCTTGCCGCAGCGGGCTGCGGCATCATTTAGTTTCATTTGGTATGGATTAGTTTCATTAGTTTTATTTGGTAATTACTTTCAAGATAGTCACTGTAATTCTCTGGGTAAAAAGAAGCAGCTATTATCCCTCCAAGAGCACAGGTGACACTGCTGGATGCTGTTGAAACAGTGGGTGCTCAAAGTGTCACAGGGAAGTAGAGTAGGTGCCCTCTGATTCAACACAATTAGGACGTGTAGTTGGCCTTATGGACTGAATGGTACTCCCCTCTAAATTCATGTCTTCAAGCTCTAACCGGCAACATGACTACTTGAAGATGAGGACTTGAAGGAGGTAATTAACATTAAATAAGGTCATATGGATGGGGCCCTCTCCCAATATGTCTGGTGTTCCTGTAAGATACAAGAGATTTCTTTTCTCCATGCACACCGAGAGGAAAGGCCATTTGAGGACACTGAGAAAGCAACCCTCTGCAGGCCAGGGAGAGAGTTCTCACTAGGAATCAACCCTGCTGTGTTGGCCTGGGGGAGGGGTGATGCGGTCAGAGTGTAGTGGCTCCTCCACTTTTCCAATGTGGTCCAGGAGTGTGCTTTCAGGCTCACCACCCCCAGCTCCTTGGATTTTCAATTGTACCTTGTCTATGAATAGTTGTTAGTCTTTTGAAGCAGATAGATTTTTGAGTAACATGTTGCCATGTTGATGATATTACCCTACAATTTGTTTATCCATTCATCTGTTGTTGAATATTTGTGTTGTTTCTGGTTATTGCCTATTAGATATTAACTGCTGTGAACATTTTGTGTATAGGTCTTTGTATAGACGTATACTTAATTTCTCTTAGGTGAATACCCAGCAGTGGAATGTCTGGGTCATAGAGTAGGTATATGTCTAACTTTTAAGTATCTGCCAAACCAATTTTATTTTCCAAATTGATCATAATGTTTTGCATTCCCACCAGAAGGGTAGGATGGTTCTATTTTTTTATAGATCCTCACCAAATACTTGGTGTGGTCAATCTTTTTAATTTTAGCCATCCAAATGTGTG